ATGTAGATCATTCTTCAAACTTTCTAGCAATTCTATCGGTTGAAACTAAACGAGTTAGACCAAGTGCATACAACTAACGGACGCCTTTCAATGGCACTTGAAGTTAGTTCGCAGCCGCTGCAATATTGGCTCCGGTAACACTTCATGTATGAAGTCTATAGTCCTGTTTACTCAATGCGATTACGCGACAAAATTCTCCAAACCACGCCGATACATTTTTTTTATATTCCAACATGTAATCACAAGACGTGGTGACGGCAAGCTCAAGTTTTTTCATATATTAACAGCATTAAGTATTTTCTTCGTCTTTGCAAGGACGTGCCTGCCGGTAGTCTTCAAGCAGACGCCCTCTTGTGTCAAATAGAGTTAGAAGCTACAGGTACCAAGTGTTGGGCGTCTGGTATACGCAACAGTCTAGAGAAATGCGGTTATTCTTTCGTCTGGCAAAACGTTCAATCAATCGGCTCAAATACGCCCCAAATTATCTCAGCAATTTGTCAGCGTTTAAAAGATATTCATTTCCAAACATTCCTTTCCGAAATCCACAACGATAATAGAGTTGCTAATTCAAAAAATAAACTTCGAACATACAGATTATTAAAACACTCATATAACGAAGAAGATTATCTTAAGATCGCAAATGTACGTCACAGATCTGCCATTACTAAACTAAGAATCAGTTGTCACAATTTGCGAATTGAATCAGGAAGACATAACCGCACTCCTCTAGAGCAAAGAATCTGCCAATATTGTAGTTTAGGTAAAGTAGAAGACGAGGTACATTTTATTGTGGATTGTTCCATGTATGACAGCGAAAGAAACGTTCTTTTCGATTTTGTGTCAAGCAAATACTCCCAATTTAAGTATTTGAATAGTATAGAGAAATTTATATTCATTGTAGTCTTTAACAAACCAGCTTTAACCACTCATACTGCCAACTACATTTATAAGATTACCAGAAAGCGAGAGGAAGTTGAACGTACTTGTGTACTATAGCCGTTTTATTATCAACATTGATGATGTACTTTGTCTATATGTGACCTGTCTTTAGCCCAGTGGGGCAAAATGTACAATAAAGGTCTTCATTCATTATATATAATAGACACCTGTTTGTTAGAAAGTTCCTCCTTTCCTTTAAGTGTCTGCTGCCTAGTGTCTTAGATACTTAGAGGTTTAGTCGTAATCTCATGTTTTTATACTTCAGGGTATGGAAGTATTGTTTTGGGTGGCTGGGTTGTAGGCTTGTGTGTTTGTTTGTCCTTATTGCTTAAGTTGCACCATGGGTGGGAGGTGATTTCGGCAGTTGATTGATAAGAAGGTCAAAGATGAAGGTGACCTGTGTGAACTGTGGTATATGGAGGAATTCACGAAGTGGAGTACTTGTAGTAGTAATACCCAATTTGTTAATAGTTTGCATCATAGCATTTCATAATATCACATGTTTGAGTGTAGAAATGTTTGTGTTATCTGTTTTTCTTCTGCAGCTTGCCATGTACTGCTAGACGAGATCGAATACGAGATCAAACAGGTCGACCCCAGAAAAACTGTCCAAGTCGGGAGCTTCAGGGTGGATCCGCAGGGGAACCAGAAAACATGGGAGGCAAGTTGGTTTGCTTATGAAAATCTACCTTGGATGAAATGTAGTCAGGGATCTCCCTAAACGATGGAGCAGTGGCGCTGCGCCACCCTGTCCTTTCTCAGGAAAGAATGAATTTGTAGTATAACTACATGGTAACTACTAGTTACCATGTAGTTATACTACAAATTCATTCTTTCCTAGAACTATCGCCGAGTGGAATTTGAACTCGCTGTCACCAAGTACAGTAGGGGCATTGTCATTAGATACCTTTAAACAATGCCTATCTAGAGTTAGATGTTCAAGGGTTAGGTGAAACAAGTCGATCGGTGTAATGTAGCCAGCTGCCGCCGCGCCGCATGCCAGCGAAACTGGTGTGTTACGCCGAAAGGCGGTTATACAGATACAAATACAGATACAGATAGTATACCATACTTTTTTTTTTTTTTTTTAACGGTGTTGCTCAATGCAAGGCCAATTAGTTTGGGCCACTTCTAGGCATAGAGCTAGAGGTACATGTGTACTTAAGTGAGTATAATGTAGTTATGTCAGGAGATGGCGGTGAACCTTTGTTTTGAAGCTTTGTGGATTGCCTTCATAAAAGCAAAATTTCACGGTCTGACTCACGAAAGTAACATATTCATGCAGGTGGCAAGTGCAGGAAAGAGGGGTAGGCAATGATTTGATAACAGGAAAGATAAGTTCAGTGTACAGAAGTGAAATGTGAAAACACTAGTGAACAGTGAAATTGAAAAAAAAAATCAGGAAATACAGTACAGTGATACTTTTCTATTATGTACATACATACAGCCATAGCACGTGGAGCATAATTTTGAAAATGTAAACAGACTGACAGACCAAAACAATGCCTCAGCATGAGTAGTAATACTAATAGCCTCTTTCATTGACACATACAATTTTGCACAGGTCCCATTGGCCCGATCTGAGGTGTTCCTTACTGAGGTTGTGGAGTCGATCTGTGAGCACATGAACCAGTATGCACAGAGCACCAACCCACAGACGCAGAAGAAGACCTACGTCAGGACCAGCTCCAGAAAAGGAGAGACCCTCACCCTCTCCAACATCTCCATGAACCAGGAAATCAGCAAGGCACTTAGGTTTGCTGTAAGTGCCCCTTTTTCTTTTTTCAAATCTCCAAGCAGGTGCAGGGTTGTGCTTGGAGTGTTTTATTATATTAACTTTTAAGCAATTTTAGGAACACTTGTGAAGCTGATGTCTTATGGGGAAGGGCAGTCTTATTGGCTGTGTAGATTCAAATTCTTCCAATTAGCATGCATGTATGTAACAAAATGGAAGGCCTAGACTAGACCCTACATTGTGTTGGCATTTGTTTCAGTTTGGACGAGGGTTTAAAACTGGCATTGCATTACATGTATGTACCTCATTGCCTGATATTCTGTTGTGTTTCTTTTGTATTGTACATGTATAATGGTTATCAAGAATGAACAGTTTCACATCTTAGACTCTTGTCTTACCTTTCTTTTTCCCATCCTTATCTCTCCAGTGTGAGTCCATCATCGAAGACTATGAGGACGACATAATTAAGCTGTTCTCCAAAGAAGGACCAAAGTTACATGAGCTGCAGAACAAATTTTGCATGGATACAACAGGTAGGGAATTTCCTTTGTAGTTTTGTTGCTAGAAATTATCATGAAGTGTTTTCTCTTTTTGTTTAACTTTGCAGAAGGCAATCATATTGTTTTTGCTCTGTTTCTTTTTCTTCTTCTTCTTCTTCTGTTTCTCTCTTTCTTCCTCTTCTTTCTTCTTCCATTCCAAACAATAAAATTCAGTGACCAGGACCAGATGGCTGTCACCATGGTAACTGGTGCTGTAGCAGACATCCTGTGCTGTTGGGTTACATTGTGTAGCAAGTGACAGAACAGAGTTTAAGGGGCTGAATACCATATCATATGAATTAGTTTGAGTAAGAATAAACCGAGCAGTAGTAGACCATGTGAAGGTAAACATCATGCATTTGCTTTGCAAATATATGTGACCTAAAATTTTTTTTTTCTAAATTTTTGTTTTCTGTTTCAGAGCTTTGCTCAGATCCGGTATCAGAGAAACAAGTCACAAAACCAGCGGCAGAAACAGCAGAAGCGGAGACAACAGAAGCAGAGACAACCGAATCTGAGGGTGCTGAACCAGAAACAAAAGAATCAGATCTAGAGGGAACCCAACCAGAGGCAACAGAGATACACGAGGATTTGTGACCAGGTCTTCTTGTACAATAACACGTCGAAAATCATTCCAGTTCAAAGTTGTCATGTATTGAATCCAAATGTCCTTTGTATCTATTAAGTCTTTTAGTATGTACATTTTCTGAGTTGCACTTGACAGAAATGATACATTTCCTTGATATCTTGCTTAAACTCCCCCCCCCCAAATCCTATGGCCCTACCTTTACTTAAACACAAACATGGGTATATATGAGCTAAATGCACACCAAAACATCAAATACATCTTATTGATTTTGAATACTCTCTTGCTTGAGTTAAAATCTTAAATGTAGTGCTATTCCATGTTGTTTGGTTAATGATATCTTTTACTGTCTACATTGATAAGGAAAATAAAATGTTGTCTTTTAGATATAATTGTCTTTGTTCTTACAATGTTTTAAAAAAAATCTAATTATTTCACATGTTTGATGAAATATGCTTTATGGTTTCATGACACTTTTCCCCACATAATAACACTTTTGCCATGATCTTTGCAGTCCCTTTGTTCACAGGCAGGTGGTGCTGCATTACCCCACAGTCCAGGTCTTCCTCAGCTTGCAGAATCTTGCTGTTGCTTTCTTATGCTGCCTACAGAATAATGCATGTACATGCAAGTAACTTGATATGATATAATAGCATTGGATGCTCCCTATGCTGAACTGACAACATTGTACATTAGTACATTCACACATTGATGAAGAAAACAGTTTTCCATGCATTACTTCTTAAGCCACAGTGTTCAATAATTCAGATTGCTGAAACCGTGAGCCCTGTGTTGTATCCAGGACCACGGTTTATCCAGAAGCATGATTTTGGATAGTCCATGTGTATCCAGAACCATGCCTGGGGCAAATCTATGTTCTTGGACACGCGGAGACTATACATAACCGTGCCTGATTCCACCCAAACCCCATTCAGGCATAGATCTAGATAGGCACGGCTCTGGATACAATACACTGGATTCCAGACTGGCACACAGTATTCCAGTATTGGTCTTACAAGGGAAGTAGAGATGGTAATGAGGTTTCCAGTTGGGAAATGCATACGTCTTACACGACCTTGGTGTTCGTTGTGTAACAGTATCCCTGTTGGCAATAAGATAAGAACAGACAGTATTTTTCTTCAGAACACAAATTGTACACGACGGGTCCTTTTTAGAGTTAATGGACTGTGGAACATCGCAAGGGGCGCTCGAGGCTGCATGTTCCAATTACAAAGCCAATTTGCACTGCCCAGTGGTGCCAAATTGAGTTTACATCCCGGAGGAAGGTTACATAAGTGTCAGCAGACATAATCCCTTTGGATGAGTAGCCAAGAGCCATGAATATTCTATGTCTGTATACTCTCTTTTTGGTGTAACTCGCCAGCTTTGCAAGTATGCGATTCGAAACTACTAGTATGTACTCACAGTATTAGCAAACCACAAATATTTGCAATGAAGATTTTCTAATCTGTGGTTTGCTTTCCATTTGTGGGATGTTTCAGACATGCACATATACGTCATTGTAGTGAAAATGTCACGAAATGGCTAAAGGCAGGTGTTTTCAGCTGGGTTATCGACATTTTCAATGATTGTTAAGTGCAGCTAGCTTCCTCTTCAATCAGAGGTCTGCACTAAAGGATACTTCAGAAGTCGAGTCTCTTCTTAATATGAAAGTCAGTGGATATTGACTAGTCCTTTTATTATATGGTACTTCTGAATCAGTGCCTTGTGATATTTCCATTAGTTATAAAGAGGTGGCTCTTCAAAGAAAAGAATTTGGGGCATTTTTGCTCCATGAATGTTGACCTACATTGGGACAGTGTTGTTTTAACTTAGTACATGAAGATAAGTGAGTCGAATATCGAAAATCTGGTTTCCAAGCCATAAAACTGTACTGCCTTTCAAGTATATAGTGCAGCATTGAAAGATGCTGTTGGGTTGTATGATTTCGTGCAGTGCATGTTCAACTCAGAGACTTAAGACTTCGTGGAACTTAGGCAGGCTTCCAGGAGGGGACTATATGATGTTATTCAATCAGGTGTTTCACCACTTCCCGCAGCGCCCACTTACACCCACTCGGCGTGTAGTGGGTCACCTTCAGACGTGACCCCCCATCAATCAACTGTCACAGTCACCTCCCACCCACCATGCAACGGATAGCCTCTACCTGGCTTGGGGAGGCGGCTGGAAAGAGTAGAAATCGGCCAAATAGAGAGATAAGCATGCCAAGGGAGTTTGTCCGTTGAGAGAACAGTCCCTTGGCATGCTTATCTCTCTATTTGGCCGATTTCTACTCTTTCCAGCCGCCTCCCCAAGCCTGGTAGAGGCTAGCAACGGAAGCTCTTTTAACAGAAAAACGCGCCTTGACAGCTAGACTCAGCCACCCAAAACCAATCCCGTACCCGAAAGTAATCAGATAACCGCTGTGAGAAAACACCTCCAAGGGTAGAACAAGATTGCCTATTTCCTTATAAAGACACCTTCATGCGCGGATTTCTATTCATCTTCGTTTGAAGACGGCAGTGTGAAACGATTTTTTTGAACTTCACAAGAAGACGCGGTGCAAAGACGTTCCCTTATCCCCACAGCGTGACATTGCCTTGAATGAAATCAAAGCCAGACGGAAATTTGTTCAACCTCAGCAGTACACCAGCCGTCTGTAGACTTGTCTATCCAATTAGGATTTGTTTTAGGTATACGTAATTTAGTTTCACGGTTCCCGGGGTATGAGTACCCCTCTATGTTATCTCGACATGAGCCCAAGCTTTATAGAGTTCAGTCAACTTTGTTTGAGGTCTGTTCTGTATCTGTATTGCCTTGAATGAAATGAAAGCCAGGCGAAAATTTGTTCAACCTCAGCAGTACACCAGCCGTCTGTAGACTTGTCTATCCAATTTTCGGTTTACTTAATTCAGTTTCACGCTCTCTGTGGCGCGAGGTCTCTCATACGTTATTTTGCTATAAGCCCAAGGGTTCAGTCAACTTAGCTGGTGGCCTGTATATAAGGAGCCAGACGCAAATAGCGTCACAACAAATTTATTCTCTGGAACGCAAATACCGACATTCAATATATTGATAACAATTACACATAAATTTCAATTCCGCTGTTCCCATAAAATTCTCAGAACAGCTTGTACTTGTATCCTGTCCATAATAATATTTTTTTATTCCGCCCAAAATTACACATGTCTACAATCTCTGTAGCGATGTCATACATGTTTCAGTGACGGAATTGTATTTTTCTGTCCTTTTTTTGTTACTTTTCAATCCAGCACTTTATATAGCTGCTCCTGAAACATCCAGCGATTTCTTATACCCAAATGAAGAAACATATTCTCGGGTATCTAAATAAATGGTTTTTAAATAAATAAATGGTTTTTATTGTCCAAACAGTACCCGTGCAGTCGCAGCCTTTTAACGGCTGAATTGATGCAGGGTATCACATAATAATCAATACAAATCACAACAAACAAGTAATACACATGATAACACACATATTTGCTCCACATTTTTTGTGGAACTGTCGCAAGGGTCTGTGCGGCTGCCATTCGGCGCCACAAGGTGACCTCAATACCTCAAATCTAAAAGATTACGTATAATTTCTGTAAAGTACGTATCATAGACTCTAATACATCATTTCATTCACAATGCTTGATTTTTGTCACCAGGTTGATACTTATACATGGAATGTTGCACAAAACCTTGGGCTTACCACATTTACATTAAAATCTAGTTTATGATGCCCTTACTGTTCTTGTTGGCAGCAAGTTCCACTCCACGATAGTTCTAGGAAAATACATCTCAATCCTTGATTGATAACTCTGGTACTTAAGGAAAAGACTATATTTATTCTCTTCGGCGACATAGTAAAGAAACACGACGCACTAATCACATTAATATTAGCACCCACATAAAATGACGGACGCTACGTGACAAGATTACCTCTACGTTCCTTTCATCTCTTACTCATCATCATGCAGTCGTGATGTCCTACGGTTGCCATGTATAGCAACTTCATCAAATTCAACGCAAGTGAAAACCAGCTCAAGAAGGCTGCATTCACTCATTTGATTAGATGTGCTACGTGAACAAAGCGAGGCGATTTCCCCTCAATCCAGATTGCCTACGCACGAGTCTTTGGGTTAGATTACGTTATTGTGATCCACTTGTTGAATTTTCGCCCTGCGTCATTCATTTGGTACATCAATTTGACGCAGATTGCACTCCGCTGTGTGAAATCTTATTAAAACTCGCAAGCGATCAGGAAATCTGCAATTCTGGTGGCCTTAATTTCACAAAATCTGATTGTTTCTTCTTGAATGTTTTTGGCCTCAACGCACACTCCTCCTTCTGATTATAACATTGTCTTATAAAACATCACAGATTCTGTGGCAAAACATCATAGAGAATGTGGCAAATATACTGCCAAGCTGGAGTAACCTTTCCCATGTTCTCGAGGATAACAGAATTGCATCCAAAGCGCTTTGGAAAAACTCCATTCTCAGCTATATTAAAATCAGTTGGTATGCAAACACCTCTTGGTACATTGAATGAGATACCATATCCCTGCTACCCTCGTGATAAAATAGCCTGTGTAAAATATTTTTCATTCACTCTCACACCTTTGATATCATTAAACAAGAAACGGGTGTATCATCAAGAAGATGGCAAGCTACTACACGATGTAGATTTGAAAATCTCTGCTTACATTATTTCATCTATAACGTGCCTAGTGAATTCTGTTTCTAACGTAATTCTTTTCTCATAAACATTTACACCTTACAATATATATGTTACAATATGTACAAGCCCCCATTGACAAACGTAGTTGAATTTAGCATTACAAGTCAACATCTGTATATCTTTTTGGAGGGGGGTGAGGTGGTAAGAGCAGGAATGGGTAACATCAGTAAAAACTCTATCGATATGTTTACCCTTTACTCATTCATTGTACCTGTATCATTGTGAACACTGTATAGCTCTCCCTAAAGATCATTGTCAATGAAAATAGAATTTATAGGAGGCCGTCGGATTTATTCCCTCTTTTAAGCATTAAAGCAGCTCTGCTGAATGTTATCATTTTACATCTGTTTAGCACCAGAGAGCACGGTCATGAGCAACTGGCCCAGCAGGGCTTGCTGCATGTGGCACATTTGGATGCTGCTGTTAAAAAATACTCCACAGCGACTATGTGATTTATATTATTAACCGAATGGCACCATGACAAGGCGTTTGTTGCTGCAGTATAATTGTAGCGAAGCCTAGGCGATTGTAGCGAAGCGACCATCTTGGCAGCCTATGCGATTCTGACGACCCTCTGTGTAGCCTAGGCGACTGTCGCTACCATCTAGATGATTGTAGCGGCCATCTGTGTAGCCTAGGCGATTGTAGCGAAGCCTAGGCGATTGTAGCGACCATCTAGATGATTGTAGCGACCATCTGTGTTGGCTAGGCGATTGTAGCGAAGCCTAGGCGATTGTAGCGACCATCTAGATATGATTGTAGCGACCATCTGTGTAGCCTAGGCGATTGTAGCGAAGCCTAGGCGATTGTAGCGACCATCTAGATGATTGTAGCGACCATCTGTGTAGCCTAGGCGATTGTAGCGAAGCCTAGGCGATTGTAGCGACCATCTAGATGATTGTAGCGATCATCTAGATGATTGTAGCGGCCATCTCTGAAGCCTAGGCGATTGTAGCGACCTTCTGTGTAGCCCAGGCGATTGTAGCAACCATCTAGGCGATTGTAGCGAAGCCTAGGCGATTGTAGCGAAGCCTAGGCGATTGTAGCGAAGCCTAGGCGATTGTAGCGACCATCTGCGTGGGTCTGACCACCCTCCTGCGGTCGGCCAGCCGGAAGTCCATCCGCGGCGTGCTGTTGGGCTGCCCCCGGCGGCTGCTGCTGCTGTTGTTCGGCAGACCCGGTCCCGCCAACCGGAGATCGTCGTTCCACGGCTCCACGGACCGACCTCGCCTTCTCTTGTACACCTGATAGAACCATGAATAATTTTATCAGGATTTTAAATGATATTGAAGAGGGCCTGCAAACCCTTTTTCGTAAGGCGTAATCAGGCCGTTTTAGACTTCGTAATTCGTAGGCAGCCTCCGCAAAAATCAACGTAATTCGTAATTGGACACTAGCCGCAAATCGTAAAGTCGTAATCAGCTCTGAGACTTTAACGTAATTCGTAATAGGCGGCGAAAATTTTGCACAATTCGTAATCACTACCCCCCACCCCCCTTGCAGGCCCTCATTGAATATCACAACCACTTGTTTGCAAGAGGCTACGTTTTAATGATCGTCTGTCATATTCATCAGGGCTATAATGCCTTGCTCGCTGTGCACTAAAGGTACGCGTTACTGGTTCACAGTGACAATACTTAATACTATGGACTTCATTAGCTTAGTATTGCTGGTTAACTTATAAAACAAACCTGGTAGCAGGTCTTGGGCAGCTTGCGCATGAACTTCCTGGCGTTGTGGTTCATACCGATGTACACCACCGTGTTGATCATGCTGCAGAAGTAGGAGTAGCAGTATTATTTTCATCTCAAGAAATGTTAGAGACTGGAACCACATAGTTAAAGTTAAGACTCTACACAATGCCCTCAATAACTTGTAGGTTTCAATCACAGTTATGGGTACTCACCCCACCCACTCAGAATGGCGGCCAGGGAGTAGCGCCCCTGCCCATTGAGGAGCTGGGCCTCTTAAATTACCAAAAGCACAATTTATAAAACTTCGCCCCCCACACTTTTACACTTACTGTGTGGTAGCGAGAAATTTAATATTGAAACTCAGACTACAGTAGAGGTCATCCTCGGCGATGCCGATGGCTTAACATTTGGAAAATTAGCCAAATAACCTTGCCGAACGCCAACCAAAGACAGCCGACCTTACTCCCTACCTACTCCTTACCATGATTGGGGGAAGTTCGGGAGGCCATATTCTGCTACTAGTGTATGTGACGAAGGTTTTGCACTTGTGGTGTAGCGTTTGGTACCTTTTAGCGATGCCGATGCAGACGAATTTTTGAGATTGAAATGTGGGAAAGTATGTTTATGAGTCCTTGTTTTAGTGTGTTTAATTAAAGCCTTCAATGGCCAAACCTAATAGTTGCATCTGCCCTGTAGCGTCCCGTACCTGTTGGCGATGCCGATACCATCCACAATGAAGTAGATGGCACAAATAACGTTTAACAACAGTTGATATATCTCAGTTCAGTTCATCCTTCAGGTGACACCATGTACTGTCTCCACAAGTTCCTGCCACGCATGACAGAGGACATACATATCTAGCTGATATATCTAGACCCTGACTAGAACACTAACTCGAGTTGTAGTGTTCCGTACCTGTTAGCTATAGCGATGCCGATGGCCTCAACGATGAAGTAGATGGTACAATTAACGTTCACCAATTTCGACGTGATGGTGATCAATGGAATCATTGCATGGATGGTTACTGTCTAGGCTATTTTCTAACTCGCTGTACAGCGTTCCGTACCTGTTTCCGTACATGTATTTTGTACTGAAAGATCTGCTGGAGTTTACCTGTTAGCGATCCCGATGGCCTGCACGATGAAGTAGATGGTGGTGTTTTAGGCGTTTTTTATGTACATGTATTTTGTACTGAATGATCTGCTGGAGTTTACCTGTTAGCGATGCCGATGGCTTCCACGATGAAGTAGATCGTACAAATAACGTTAAACAATTTCGACGTGATGGTTGCAGATCAACGCAATTAAAAACAGAGTTTCTGTTCGGATTTATTGCATGGATGGTTACTCTCTAGGCTATTTTCTAACTCGCTGTACAGCGTTCCGTACCTGTTGGCGATGCCGATACCATCCACAATGAAGTAGATGGCACAAATAACGTTTAACAACAGTTGATATATCTCAGTTCAGTTCATCCTTCAGGTGACACCATGTACTGTCTCCACAAGTTCCTGTCACGCATGACAGAGGACATATCTAGCTGATATATCTAGACCCTGACTAGAACACTAACTCGTGGTGTTGCAGTGTTCCGTACCTGTTAGCGATGCCGATGGCCTCCACGATGAAGTAGATGGTACAAATTTCGACTTGATGGTTGCAGATCAACGCAATTAAAAACAGAGTTTCTGTTCGGATTTATTGCATGGATGGTTACTGTCTAGGCTATTTTTTAACTCGCTGTACAGCGTTCCGTACCTGTTAGTGATGCCGATGGCCTCCACGATGAAGTAGATGGTGGTGTTTTATGCGTTTTTTTTAATGTATTTTGTACTGAAAGATCTGCTTGGAATTTACCTGTTAGCGATGCCGATGGCCTCCACGATGAAGTAGATGGTGGTGTTGTGCGCGTTGAGCTGCAGAACGTACGGGAAGAAGTCCCTGATCACGGCGTACACGTAGTACGGCAGCCAGCACAGGATGAACAGGCCCACAATCACGATCAGCAGCCGGATCACCTGAACATTTCAATTTTTTTTCTGTTACTAGAAGATTCTTTCAACAGTGACAAGTTTGAAGGGTAAAGATACTGACCTCCAAATTTTCGATGACTATCAGTCCATCTTGTTCACGGAGAGAGCGCAAGACTAGGCCCGAAACTTGCATCGGCATTTTTTTTTATTTTATTATTATTATTATAAGTACTTAGTTTATTGATAAAGCACGGGGCAAATTTCTATATTTTTATTTTATTAACGGCATCCAATCCGATTTCACTGCAGCAAAACTGGAAATATTCTGAATAAGGCAATTAATATTGTATAATATTGACACAAACTATCCACATTAGCATATTTGTATTCAATCACATGTACCTTCTCTTTGGAGTTCTGCACGCTAGCCTGCTGTGACTGGGTGTGGTGCCCGGGGATGGTCCGGAACCTGTGGCAATGGTGAAGTGCACATGGTAAGCAGAGTTTTAGGCCCCCAGCTTATTTTTGACGTGATTTTTTGCACTGGTACCGAAACGTCGGGTGGCAAATGGTAGCTGCCTGGCTATATGAAACAAGATTAAACTGCATATAGATACTGCCTGGCCAATGTCATACTGTCTTTGCAGGAAACTGCAGAAGATGAACAAATCAAATCAACCTGAGTCTACATGACTGCAAAACTAATTGCTTTATAAAGATAAAAGTTTAACATAAGACAAAAAACATATGGCTATGGCAGTTTTTACAGTTTAGAGCTGATAAGTAGATTCGTTTCTACCATTGCAGCATCTGCAGGATGTACGAAATAGATTCCTAAGAGAAGACAAACTTATCAATGAGGTTTTCTCTCACCAGATTCGCATCCCAATGCGGATGTAGCAGAAGCACATAATCAGCACTGGGATGATGAACTCGAATATCAGCATGAACAAGTAGTACGCCTTGTAGCTGTGCAAAAACAAACAAACAAAAAAACCAGTTCATTTCAGAAGTTGACAAATAGTTCACGAGCCTTGTCCAAAAGAACAGGGGTCATTCCTAGTGTGCATGAATCAAACCTTACATTCTCGTCTCAAAGTGGGCATCTTAAAAAGGAGACATCTTTAAAAGCCAACTCTTACTCTAATCATTCCACAGATGTGGTATATTGCAATGAATAAATGAACCACAGAGAGTAAAGATACTTTTCAAGAAACGAAATACAGTGTACTAAAAATTTAACGGTTAAAATGAAACTTGTGAATGTTTACTTTACCATGATGCCCTATATATGTGCCCAAAGAACTATTATAACCCACCTAGTAATAAATACAGTCAAATGACAGTCAAAGATAAAGACTTCACTAAAGAAAGGATATGCTATCAGTGAAGAAACATCAAGAAGGCCCTTTGCATGCATCGTTAGATATGCCTTACCCCAGACTGAAGCGTAATTGAAAATGAATATTTCATCGTCTCTTGGAGGAAGATGACGTTAACCACGGATTTTAGGCTCCATGTGCTCATACATTTACAAATTGCAACTGTCTTTTTTAAGAAGCGAGAAGTTGAACCTTTACTTACATAATAGTTTACATAAGTCTGTATGGAGGTAAAAAATATCGATGTCACATTTTTTTTATGTTACTGTTAGTAATTTTACTTCTGCTGTATCACCATGACCTACACTTAGCTTGTAAGAGCATTTAACGTACGATAAATGCCATTCATCCATTCTTCCCTCCATTCATTCATCCACTAATTCATTTACTCAGTCAATCATTCATCACTTGTTCGTCCGTTCATTCATCCATCCATTCACTCATTCACTCACTCCCACCTTTTGATGTGATGTATTTTCCAGACATGCCCGCAGAAAGCTCATGTCCATTCATTCTTTCGTTCATTCATTCATTCATTTCTTCATTCATTCATCATTTTTCTGGAAGGAGTTTGACGCTATCTCTCACCCACCTTTTCTCGTGATGTATTTTCCAGACCTGCCCACAGAAGGCACCTCCCTGTGTGACATACGGCACGGCCTGTGAGAAGTGCGCAGCTGGCACGGCCAGGAGCATAGAGATGACCCACACGGCCAGAATGGTCAGGGCCACCACCCGGGGCGACATCCGCGGGATCTGTGGCGACATGATCACCAGGTATCTGAAAAAAAGGAAGAAATTTGACATGTTTAAAGTTAACACTTTTGATCCAACTCGTGGTGATTTTTCTCTACGGCTTTTGACATATTCCTCTGGCCTTCTTCTTTGAAGATGAAGGTTAGACATCCAGGTAATGAGATACACCAGGTATCTGCCAAGAAAACAAGAAATCGGACATTTGAAACATACGGGAAGCATTTTTGGGTTTCGTGCATTCATTGGAAGAAGCGGGATCTGGGGCGACATGATCTCTAGGTATCTGCCAAGAAAATAAGAAATTAGACATGTCTGGCACCTGGGGGATCTGGGGTGATATGTTTATATAATTACTAACACCCTACAGATTAATTTTGGACAAAATATTGCATTTTGGACAAATGTTTGTAGCCCTTTACAGCTCATACTTACAACGTTGATATTTTGTGGAAACCTTACGTAACGTAACGGACCATGGAAACGGACCATAGTAACACCCAGCGGGGGTCGTCAAGAAAATAAAAAAAATCTGAAGATTGTTTCAAAGAATCTGAAGATTTTTTCAAAAGTCTGAGAAAATCTGAAGATAGTTTCAAAGAATCTGAAGATAGTTTCAAAGAATCTGAAGATAGTTTCAAAGAATCTGAAGATATTTTTTTTAAATCTGAAGATTGTTCCGAGATTGGTTTCAAACATTGTGATCTTGAAACTTATGTTGGAACTTCCTTTGATATTGATTATTATAGAATGTGTGATTTTTTTTACTTAGGACAAGTTGTATAATGTATCTATCAATATTGCACACACACACACACACACACACACACACACACACACACACACAGTCAGACATATAGACACACTTTAGCATTCAACTATGTATCTGCAATGAAAACAAGAAATTGGACATCCAGACACCCAGGGGATCTGAGGCGACATGAATAATAGGTCATCTGTCAAGGAAACAAGAAATTGGACATTTCAGACATTCAGCAAGCATTTTTGGTTTTCGTGAATTTTTGGAACAATCCGCGAGATTCGTCGATGACATCCAGGTTATTATGAGATACACAATACACAGTTACTCAAACACCTGGAAACTGTCAGACTTATCAAGTAGGCGTGGATGCTACTTGAGAACTGATGGTGGCTTGTCATTCTTCCCACACAATTGCAATGGCGAACATCCCGCAGTAATGCACAATGATCCATCTCAAGCACATTACGACCATATAAAGGCTTGGAACTTGCCATTCTTTGTGTTCCTCACAATCTCCATGAGTTGGGAAGGAAGAAAGCGTATCGCTACACTGTAATCCGTCTCAACGTGAAAGCAGGTTCGCTTCTACAGTAGCGTATTTACTTCCCATTGTGGATCACTCCATATGACGCACAGTGATACGATTATTGCTTCGTGGCTAATGTCTCTAAAAGGCGGTTTTGACATATTGACATGAGCCTAGTGACGTCCGTATGGTTGTCAGTACGGCGATGAATACTAACAACTATGATTATGCCTTATGATTTTGACTATTACTTTTGGTAATAATAATAATAATAGCTTTATTGCGCAACAGTTGTACAGTGTACAAAGTATGGCATTTACTAACTTAAGCAAGTACATATCAACCACATTTTCATAAGGCTACCCAAATACAAAAGTGGGTGGCTGGTATGAGACAGGTATCAACTTATACAATCGTTGGAGTAGTTTCTAATATCCATACAGTCTTTGATATATATCCCTATGTATAGCATGTCTTGTTTCTTATGATTGATTACTTGTACTCTTTGTTATCTCTATTATCTCTAAGTTTAATTATTTGATTGTCTATGTCCTCTGTAACTTGTTTTGTTGGGCTACCTTGGAAATCAGTTGCCCTAAACCGAAGGTACCACTCAACTGTTTTGCCTACCTGCCAACTGTTTTTAGATCAATAAATAGATAAATAAAACGACCAAAATAGTAGGCAATAAGTCAAACGCGACCTTATAAGGTCTGTAACTAGCCATTTGTTCCAGACAGCAGATAATTATCGACTGTGACTGAATCTCTCAGGACGAGTGGAAAGCACTAACTGCTGTCTGAGATGTCTGACTTTGTCGCACTTCATGACAAGTGGGATTCACCATTAGCAATAAATGGTCGCGTTGGGCATTTTATGTTTTATGCAATATCAGACTTACCCAGCACTTTGCTGTTGGGTTTGCAGCTATTCGCAGACGTACCTGTTAACATCATCACGTAATAGCTAAAATAACACCTGTGGCTACATATGCAGGGCACACTCTACAAAACGTGACATTTACCTGAAATATATCCTTTCGTGATCCATTGTAAGAAGAGACAAGATTCCGAAAATAATTTCGTCAGGTTGGTAGAACATAGGATGTTGGGATTTTCTTCTTACACCACCAGTAGTGTTTCTCATGATCACCTGCTTAATGTTTGGATGCCTGTCAGACATCTTTCTCAGAGCTTCAGACTGGAGAACTGCTCCAAAGCTCTCAATATCCAACCAAGGAGCTTCTTGATCCAACAAACGAGATTGCATGGCCTACTATAATCCGGACAAGATTAATAGCTTAGATGGCCGGCTAGTGCACGCGTATCGTTACAGATTCCTGTTCAAAGAGAAAGCTGAGTTGTTTTTCGTCAGCGTATTTGCCTCTATTGACGAGTACACCATATATGACGCATGGTTATAAGATTGTCTTACGGCTAATGGCTCTAAAAGCTAAGGTGGTTTTGACATGTTGACGCTTGTATGGTGACAGTGACGTTCGCACCACCTAAACCAATTTATATCCCACTTATATCGTATCACACTGTGCCACTGTTAACGGTCACAAAAATGATTCACGATTCTTTCTTATCCACTGAGTCTAAACAAAGATAACGATGGCTTCATAAACTACAGAAAGCTATAAAACAGGACATATGATCCTATAATAAACTGTAATGTGCCAGTGGAGTAGTTAGCCGCCACAGGGAGTACAATTTGCAACCTACGGATGGTGGGCTTCAAGGACAAAAGGCGACTGCAAAAAGTTGCAAATTGTACTCCCTGGGCAGAATAACTCCACTGGCACATCGATTTGGCCAATTTCTACTATTTTTCAGCAAGTCATTAAACTCTGGTAGTGACCCACAAAGTTTGCACTCGCAGCCATTTTGGCATGCGATCGAGCTTGCCAACATTCTTTTTTTTTCTATTCACCGATGTTGAATGAGGATGTTGTGATTGCTGGCCTTGAGCGCTTCTGCGGGAAATGAGATGCTCTCAACCGAGCCATTGCCCGCCCGACGACCCCCATTTTCTAGGAAGTAACGTTAAGCCGCATTTTCCATGTATTTGAGCGCGTTAAAGGTGTTAAGGTAAAGCCCCTGCACGTTAAGGAAACCAACGCACATTTAAGCTTAAGAAAAGTAAACCCTTGGCACAGCCGCATTGCACCGTCAAAAAGATCTATATCAAACAAGCACTGCGCCTCGCCTCGAGGACTACCCGTCGAGGTCAACCAGCTTTATGTATCTGAATCTGTATAGCCGGTATAACCGCCCTTCGGTGTAACACACCAGCTTCTGTATCTGTATAGCCGGTATAACCGCCCTTTGGTGTAACACACCAGCTTAATATGTTATCAAATCCTAAAGCTTTTGACTTCCTGGATCTGGATAGTCGGTATAGTTGAACTCCGTCAGCAAGGTTGACTTTCATCATGCTTGGCAGCTGTTTTCATTTCAGTCAAGTTAAAGCATTTTCTTGGTATGGGTTTAAGTATCTTGCGTATGTGCAATTAAGAGTAGATCTAAGTGATTACAGAGGCTGATGTTATATCTGTTTTTGTGCAAGGTTTGCACTGAACGTACATTTGGTACGTTAAGCTTGATGAACTTGCTGTTTCTACTGAGTGCAATGTAGATTAAGTGTAGATCTAAGTGATTACAGGCTTCTGTAATTTCTGTTTGTGTTCAGGTTTGCATTGAGCTTAGCTTTGGTACGTAAAGCTTGATGAACGTTCGTTTGGTGGAACCCATTCGTACCACGTTCAAGATTGACGCGATTGTCAATATCCTTCTGTATCTCATAAGCTGACAGACGTTCGAGATGAAATCATAGGCTTTCAAGCGCTTTTCAACGATGGAAACAAATCCTTTAATGTAACATCTCCATGCTGATATAAAGCCTAAAACACTTTCTGCAGCGTCATGTGGAGTGAAAAATGTGCGATTCAATATGAAATATATGTATAATAGCTCTGTAGTCTGTTACTGCTTTTGCGTCCATACGATCGTTAAATGCAGAGTTGAGTCACAAGAAAACTACGCCTGCACAACCCATCAAACAAGCTGACAAGCTTCTTACCTTGAGTTGCAAATAGGCTAGCTACGTCAACCCGACTTTACAAGGTTACAAATGCTTAATTTCTAATAAAAAAAATGACAGGAATAGCTACATTTTGCATACCTAACAGGGCTGTATGACGGACACACATGCATAACAACGTCAGGTCTCATGGCAACTAGGATAGTCTATCCGACTTGATAAAGGTACAAACGTTTGATTGCTACATAGAAATTACAGGAATAGCTACATTTTATATCACTAACAGGGCTGTATGACGGACACACATCCATAACAACGTCAGGTCTCATGGCAACTAGGACAGTTTCCACGTCATTCATTATACACACAAATTGGCTAGTATGTCCTGCCCCCAGTGACAGGAGAATAATGTCTTAAATGACTTCAGGCTTGCTTCCGATGTAATATGCGTTTTTCTTTGGATGTTTTCCACAACGCAGACCAAATTATTCTATAGTTCTAGAGAGTAGCGGTCCAAGCCCCGCTTGGGCGTAAGCACTGGGATTGCATTTGTCCCTTCGGATGGGGACATTTTTGCCCAGATGGGGACATGTATTGGGAAGTGTCGGCCTCTGCATGTGAGCTAAGCTAAAATGGGGAAGTCGCATACTTATGTTGTCTTTGCAAGTTTTATGCTATGGGATTCTAAACCTCACGTGTACAATACTCTTGTTAGATTTTGTCTACTGCTTAACATGTTTAGAAAGTGAAAAAGAATATTGACTTTGACAACCCAGTTTTACAGCCCTGAAATCTCTTTGAGTTCCTCTACGTGGCGTAATGGTAGGGCAATTGGCCCGGAACCCATGGGTCCTGGGTTCGATTGCCTACCTGCCCCTACGTTGTGCCATTGGGAAAGGCACTTTCTCACAACATGCCACCAGTTATTGCCGATTTTTCGGCAGACGGGCATTATCTGAAGAAGAAGATTAACTTACCGATTGAACGGATGGAAAAACAACGAAGCGCTAACGAACCATAAGGAGACATGTGTAATCTAATAGTCAACCCAGTAATGGGGCTACCCAGTAAGGAAGAAGACTAAGAGGAAGACATAAACCACAGTACCTGTCTACGGCAATGACTAGCAGTGCAGTAGTTGAGACGTAGAGAGACACCATGCGAGTGTAGTTGCCACGGGGCACACTAAACTCACTTGTCATGTCACTTGCACACACAAAATCATTATTCATATCATCCTTTTCTTTCCCTATGTTCATATGTTCTTATATGTTCACTTGTTACCACCACATGTTCATCTTCTTAAGGTGCTAAGCAGTAAGGAAGAAGAAGAAGAAAAAAACACAGTACCTGTCTACGGCAATGACCAGCAGTGCGTTAGTTGAGACGTAGAGAGACACCATGCTAGTGTAGTTGACCACGGGGCACACCAAACTCGTCTTGTCACAAAATCATTATCTATGTACTCTTCCATATACATGTAATCCTTTTGTTTATCTATGTTTATATGTTCTCATCATTTGTTACCACCACATGTTCATCTTCTTAAGGTGCTAAGCAGTAATGAAGAAGAAGAAGAAAAAATAAATAAAACACTGTACCTGTCTACGGCAATGACCAGCAGAGCGTTAGTGGAGACGTAGAGAGACACCATGCGAGTGTAGTTGACCACGGGGCACACCAAACTCGTCACAAAATCATTATCTATGTACTCTTCCATATACATATAATCCTTTTGTTTATCTATGTTTATATGTTATCATCACTTGTTACTACCACATGTGTCAATGCTGCTCATCAACTCAGTAATGGTGCTAAGCAGTAAAGAAGAAGAAGAAAAAAAAACACAGTACCTGTCTACAGCAATGACCAACAGAGCGTTAGTGGAGACGTAGAGAGAGGCCATGCGGATGTAGTTGACCACGGCGCAGAAGGCGTCCCCGTATGCCCAGGTGCGGTCCGGCCGGACGATGTAGTAGTCCATGATGAACGGGATACACACCACTGCTAGTATGAAGTCAGACAGAGCCAGGTTTGCTATCAGAGCGTTCGTGATTGTCCGCATCTTCTTGTAAGTGGCGATGACTATGAGCAGAAGTAGGTTCCCCACGCCACATACTATCATGGTGGATGTGTAGATGATACCGAGGACTACTTTGGAGGCGATCGGCGTGTCCACCACCTCTGATAGTCCAGATCCAGCGCTGGTGTTTCTGGTGAGGTGGTTGTAGTTCTCAAAGTCCTGCGCGTCGTCGTAGCTGGACAAAATGTCACTCAATGAGGAGTTCATTGTGTCAGGCATTTGTCGAGACGATCGCAAAGAAATGCTTTTCTATTTGATCCGTTTGTTTGCCGTCCATACGTCCGGTGGCAAACTAGTCGCCCATCTCTGAATTGAAGAGAAACTCGCAGTTAGATCAGTGCAGCTATGAAAGTCCTCTGGTGAGGTGCAGCTCCCTGTGTAGAGGCTGTCAGAAAAAGCAGTCCGGGACGATCTCAGAGAAATTTTTCTCTACCTAATGCGTTTGCCGTCCATACGTCCGGTGGCAAACTAGTCTTCCATCTTTGAAGAACAACGTTAGCTCGCACTTAGATCAGACCACCCAGCGCACCTGGGAAGAATCCTCTGGTCGGATGTAGTTAGCTCTACAGAGGCTAGGGTTCCGGGAAGATCTCAGAGAAATGTTTCTCTACCTACTGCGGTGACAATCTAGTCGCCCATCTCTTAAGAACACCTCGCTGTTAGATCAGGCCACCCAGAGCCGTTGTGAAGAATCCTCTGGTGGGATGTAGTTAGCTCTACAAAGGCTACCAGAAGATAGGGATCCGGGACGATATCAGAGAAATGTTTCTCTACCTAATGCGGTGACAATCTAGTCGCCAATCTCTTAAGAACACCTCGCTGTTAGATCAGACCACCCAGAGCAGCTGTGACAATCCTCTGGTGGGTGAAGCTCTCTCCTTCTCTCTGCGGAGGCTGTCGGAGATACGCTTCGTCTTAGCCAAGGCTGCCAGCGCAAATTAGTCAGCCAATAAGGTATCAGGTATTGACGTCACTGCACAGATGCTGCGGGAAGGCGGACTCCTCTTACCAGCGGAGGGCTGAAGCTCAGCTGTAAATCAACCAACAACAAAATGGTTAATGGGTGGAACCGGCCGCCGTTGGTCAAGAGAATGTAGAGTCAAATTAAGGTCTTCTAGTAATCAATCAATGAATGAATGAACGAATGAATCAATAATAAATGTAAGATGGAAAAGAGACAGAGAGAATGGATATTGAGATAAGAAGATCGTAAAGGGGAAATATTGGCCCTAAATCTTAACCCTTTCTGCATCAAACGATCTTGAAGACTTGCTGCCTAAGCTCATTTTGCCGAGTGTACATGTAATAGCGGTTTAAGGGTTTTTCCGAACTATATCTTATCAAGATTATTCAGATTTTCATTCCGAAAAGCTCACTCAATTTCTCGGTAAAGCAGCTTTGTTTTCCAGTCGTTTTCTAAGCGTTATTACTAAGATACGGCGTTTTTTGTGAATTGTGCAAAAGCTCTGATGTGCGAAATGACTTTGTTGCTAAGAGGTGCTTGACAGAAGACCAGCTGCGGTCCCTTCTTATTGGCTTTGAAATGCCTTAAGTGGCAATGAAAAAAAAAACACCCCATGAAGTGGAAAAAATGCAGTGAAAAAAAACACACCTGCTGAACCTGCTAAAGGTTATACGTGAATGACCGACCGACATTTCATGCAATATGGTGTCCCAATGTGTAAATAGCGTTGCTAGTTTATTCACAGGCGCTATTACCTGTTAATAGGTAGCTGGTTAGAGGCATTTGTACATGTAGAACATCCATCAGTAAATTCCAAGATGCGTTGGGTTGGACAATTGCTGCTGCAATGGGTAACGCAACGTTCTGCTTCAGTTAAGTACATTTAGGGCAGACGTTGGGTCGTAAAAAACAATTATTATCTTCAAACGAATTTTGCTTCATTTTGAGTTGCATTCTTGTTGCTGCCACGCACGAAACAAATCAAAACGTGCTAAAGGGCGAGAATATGAGCGAGAATATGTTTTAAGCTACCCGCCAGGTGCAAGGCGAAAACAACTCTAACCGCAAATGCCTTTCAAATCCGCCGAATACACAGTGGCACCCCAGGCAGGAGCTACAGCTAGCAAAATGCTTGCTTGGTTTTATTGCCTAAAGCGTGAGAAAGATACAATTCGAGTAGAGGAATCAAAGAGTGTGCTGCGACATTTCTGTAACTTAACGAGCGAAGTAATGCACTTTTATGGGCAGAATTTAAGAGCTTACATAATCAAAACTTCCTCAAAAGCATTTAAAAGACTCCCTAAAGACTTTGCGGGCAGAGACATCCCAACGGTATTACCTGCAGGCTTTGTATCATACGGTTGATAGATGGAGTAATTAAGTTTGGAAGAAAGTTGTCTCTTAAGATCAAATAAGGTTCGCTGTTTGATAAATATCTTGCCTTAAGCAATAGCTCTTCAAGGGGCATGTTGCCATAGATAATCTTGTTGTATTGTTAGCAAATTAACCCCAGGTCAGCACATAAAGCAGGAGCAGTCGATATCATTTAGATAGCATCAGACTTAACTACGTATTAGAGTAATTTTAGATCCACTGTTTTAGATTAGTATCCGGTATACTGTAAAGTGTCAAGGTTTGTACGTCACAACTACTTTATTTTTATGCCTGCTTGGCCCAATAGGGCTTAGATGTACAAGAAGGTTATCTATAGTTATAAAACTCTATAATTAAGTAGGAATCGGCTTTGCAAGGTATTCCATAGGAACTTGGTTGTTTCATATTTCGTAAGCGTCTCCTGTAACCTCTGATGGCTGTGCCTGATAAAGATGTGAACATCTGCATTTTCATTATCAGACAGCATTATCAGATGAACTTCCCATAGCACAACGAACTGTTTCAACGCGAAATATATATATATATATATATATATATATATATATATATATATA